GCGATCGTCCTCCACACTGAAGGACTTATCTGTGCCAAACATACCTAGTAGCGAAGGCAAAACTCAGCAATCACGGAATCAAGCTCTCCGCTCAAAGAAAACACACCCAAAGTAAATGAATACTTGAAAAAGTATCTAAAACCTTCCTTGGGAAGGGTCACTCGCTCCGATAGATCGGGAGCGATAATTTCCAACTCATTGCAGTGGCAGTCCTCCTGCATAGCAGGAATACTGGAAGGACAAATCGAAGAAGGGTACCTACTAACATCCCATGTACGAGGGTTAGCAGTAGGAAATTTCTCTTCAAAATCCTTCGAAGTACTAAGACTTCTTGGGATGATGGAATCCACTGTTGGAGGAACAGAATCATCGATTTTATTCTTATTCTTTGCAGAACCACCATGTTTGGAGGAAGAAGCCATTGGAAAAGAAGAAGGTAAAAGAGTTTGTGTTTGAAGAAAATTAAAAAAAAGAATGAAAAACAAGGATGCAAATCAGAAGCTCGAGCAATTGTGAGACGCAAAGGAAAAGAAAGTTGCATATAAGTAAAATTTTGGGGGCTAAATTCATTGCCATGATTACCTCGATAATCGGCAAAAGTTGTGCTGAATCTTGGGATGATGCGTGTTCGGGGCATTAAATGCGAAAAGACGTGTGTCTAATCAACCGTTAGAGACCTTTAGAGGTAATTATAGTAATTTCCGCCAAAACGATATTTCTACCAACTTACCGGTAACACAAAGTTATGTCACCGGAAAGCAGGAGGACTATCTGTATAGAGTAAAATATGATATGACACATGGCTGACTAAAAGGAGAACACGTGGAATCCGAGATGGAATGGCTGAAGACCGAACGCAGTCATTGCGCTTGTCACCGGAACGGATAACATTCATAAAGTGTATTAAATGTTCTGCGTCCGATAGCATTTACTAAGGAATATTCCACAACATTAAGAGCGACGGTCCGTTACAAAGAATTTGGCGTTTACACTCAACGTTATATCTTCATCAATGACTCTCATAATTTGCATTAAAGGAGGGCATGATCCTAGGACCTTTTTCCCTAGGCATAGCTATAAATAGTGAGTTAAGTTACCATTGTAAAGGACACAAAACTTTTCTGGCAAGAATATATATTATATTATATACAAAACTTTATACAATTTTACTCTCTTACTTTCTGATCTCATCATTGCTGTGTTCGAAAATCGTGTTCACGGAATCGCTATCTTTGCTATTTCATCTACAATTCAAGGCTAAGTACTGTGTATTTTTTCGATTATTATATTATTTCAGGATCAAATTAGTTCACTTATCTATAAACTACGTATAAATTCAACTGTATCATTTTACGGACAAACACTGAATCATGGGGAAAAAATCTTAGATAGTAAGTCTTTCTCTTTTAATGAGCGTTACACGCTAAGATCATGTTACAAGTGTCTCAAGAAATCGGGAAAAGATAAACAAGTGTCTGAAGAAATAAAATGTGATTGGTTGCATAAAAGAGCACTAATACTCCCCTAGACATGGTATCTTTTCAAGAAGTAGAGCATAAATGTTCAAGCTTTCAATGGTGTCGCAGAAGGTCAATATTTTGTAAAATCAGCCCGCTCATTATTTCTTTGGAGTGGGGTGAAGGGTCCAAGGCTATTCAATAAAATATCCAATAGCATGCAGTTCTATTCCTCATCTGTCCATTTCATATAACAGCATTATTTATGAAGTTCACTAATCTTCTTTGATTAAAATTTCTTAAAATATCCTTTTCGAAGTTTTAATTATGAGATTAAATAATTTATTATATTCAGAACGTGCAAAATCTAGAAATGCAATTTTCTTTCTAAAAAGTTCAAAAATCAATGTTTTTAGTTGACAAAAATAAGATACTTTAAGCCTGCAGGCAGAATTTGTCTTTAAAAGTGAATCATTTACACCGTATGATTTTTCATAGGTCACTCTTTAAATTTTGTCTCCGTCAATCCAATGGACTGGATTTAAAATGGAATATAATCTAAAATAGGTGCCTCAAAAAAGTGGAAATGCCTCTTTAAAAGTTGTTGGCTGAACTTTCTTTTCCACAAATTGAGCATACTCGCTTCCCATTACGGATTGGATCGGATTTGACATATTTTAGATTATAATTTCGGATTTGGGATTTGGTAAATTGCAATCCAAATCCGAATCAAATTAAATTCGGTTAGGATGGATTTTGATATTTGGATCGGATAAATATTTTGGATTATTGTTCGGATAGTAAACCTTATATATTAAGATGCTAAAATAAAAGATTTTAAGTAGGGTTGTGCATTATTTGGGTCGAATCGAAAATCCGAACCGATCCATGTTATTTGGATCGGTTCGGATCGAATTTCAACTATTTGGATCATATTTCGGATTATAAATTAAATATTTTAGATATCGGATCGGATATGGTTTGGCTTAATTTAAATCCGAACCGATTCGAAATCCGAAATATAAGGCCTACATATAAAAGTGAGGGTGCCATCAAATGGGGTTTCATTTGTCTTATTTCTCTCACATCAGCAAGTATCTCTTAGAGCTTTTAGACCTGCCTCCATCACTCCAAATCTCCAATATCGCTGCTTCATCTTTGCTCTCCAGAAGTAAGGTTTTTTGGTTTTATTTTGATTTTTCATTCTCTCCATCCTTTCCATTTTAGATTATTGATTGATTCTTTCCTATTTATGGCCGATTTTTATTTTAGATTGATCTAAGGTTTTGATTTTTTATTCTCTCCCTCATTTCCATTTTAGAACTTAAATTTTTCAAAGATGCTATTTGATTAAAAATATACTGCTGCTCATCTGATTTTCTCAAAGCTTAAATATTAAGTTCTTGCATGAATTTTTGTCTGGTGTTAGCTCGTGCACTTAAGCACTTTTATGGGTTCTTGTATTTCTTCGCTATTCTTTTTTAACTACCGGTACTGATTTTTTGCATAGATTTTATTTTATACTTGTTTCATAGATGACAGAGCTAGAGGCAGAGAAGGGAAATAAACTTCAAATTATCCTAAAAGGTAATGAAAGTGGTGCTTCAAATAATTTCACAACGAACACACTCCATTGTGAATCTGCTTCTAAGAAAAGAAAAGGCATGAAAGAAAGATCAGTTGCTTGGGGCCATTTCGACAAGTTCACTGATGACGAAGGGATTAAAAAAGTGAGATGCAAGTATTGTCAAGAAGAATATATAGCAAATACAAAAAACAGCGGCACAAGCAATTTGCTATCCCATATGATCAAGTGCCCGAACAATCCCCATAAGGTGGACACCAGCCAACAGAGACTAGCTTTTCAACCAAAAAAGGGTGGTCAAACAGGTGATGTAACAATAATCCCATGAAAATTTGATCAAGAGGCATGTAGTAAGGGTTTAGCTCGCATGATAATTATTGATGAGCAACCCTTTATTTCTGTTGAAAATGAGGGTTTTAGAGATTTTGTGAGAACTCTTCAACCTTTATTTCATGTTCCTTCTCGTACTACTGTGACTAGAGACTGTCTTGAGATTTATAATGAAGAGATACATGTTTTGAAGAGAATTTTCAAAGAATCAAAACAGAGAATTTGCATTACAACTGACACATGGACTTCAATTCAACGAATTAACTATATATGTGTTACAGTACATTATATTGACAAGAATTGGGAATTGCATAAATAAATATTGAATTTTTGTTCAATTACTAGTCACAAGGGTCAAGATTTAGCTAATGGTGTTGCTAAGTGTTTGCTTGAATGGGGATTAGATAAAAAAATTTACTGTGACTGTTGATAATGCAAGCTCTAACGATGTTATGGTTAAAGAATTATCTAAACAATTTACTAGATGGAATACAAATTTGATGGAAGGTAAGCATGTTCATGTGAGGTGTATGGCTCACATCATCAATCTAGTTGTTCAAGATGGGTTGAAGGAAGAGAGTGTGTCTACTGAACGAATAAGACAAGCTGTCAGGTACATACGGCAATCTCCCGCAAGATTGTAGAGGTTTAAAGAATATTGTGATCTTGATAAGATAACATCTAAAAAATTATTGTGTCTGGATGTTCCAACTAGTTGGAACTCCACATATTTAATGTTGAAGGTTGCGGCAGTTTATGAGGATGCTTTTACAAAATATTGTGATATTGATTATGGATTGATGCATTGTATTTCTAATTGTATTTGTAAGGATGGGCAGTCTGCAGATCCACTTTTAAGTAGTGATTGGGAAAGTGTAAGACGTATTGTGAAGTATCTTGAAATTTTTTATGAACTCACCTTGAAGGTATCGGGCACACTTTATATTACATCTAATGTACATTTTCTTGAGATCTGTGTGGTAGGTTCTTCTTTGAAAGAATTGATGAAAAATGAAGATGTTGCCGTGCAAGAAATAGCAAAGAATATGAAAGAGAAATTTGACAAGTATTGGGGTGATCCTCACAAGATGAACAAGATGATATTTATTTCATGTGTGTTGGATCCACGCCACAAGTTTCACTCTCTTTCTTTTACACTTGCTGCTATGTTTGGAGAAACAAAAGGTGTGAAAATACAAGAGGAAGTGAAGACGTACATGAAAACTTTGTTCAGTGAGTATGTCAAAATGAATGGTGATTCATGTCCATCTTCTCCATCTTCAACTTCATCTTCATGTCCATCTCATCTATCTCCTCCATATCCACAATCTTCTCCATCTTCATGTTCTTCTTCATCATCATTCTCAAAATTCATGCTAGATTTAAAGAGGCATAAGAGTGGTGGAGGTATTGACTCTAAAACAGAGTTGGATAAATATTTGGGTGATGTTGAGGAAGAAAAAGATAAATTTGATATTCTGGGTTGGTAGAAGTTGAACTCACCTAGATTTCTCACTCTTGCTGATATGGCACGTGATGTGCTAGCCATACCAATTTCTAGTGGTGCATCTGAATCGGCCTTTAGTACTGGAGGACGCATACTTGATCCATTTAGGAGTTCATTGACTCCTAGATTGGTTCAAGCTCTTGTGTATGTCCAAGATTGGCTTCGTAATGAATCAACAACTCTGGTTAAAATTGAGGAAGATTTAGATAATCTTGAACAACTTGAACTTTGTAAGACTATCTTTCTTCTTTTATTCTTTGTTTTGATATATATTTGATAACTTATTTGTATGTTTATTTGGATTCTTTTTATGTTAACATATGTGTGGTTTTAAACTTTCAATAGAAATGGTCAATACTGGAAAAGAGCCTTGCATCGTTGACATATAGTATTGATGAAGATTATTGAACTATATTTTGCTGGTATAATTCTTTCGCTAGTTATTTTTTTGTCCAGTGTGTTGGTCTTTGATTTTATGTTTCAGTTTTTGTACTCAAGTCTAAACCTTTCCTTTGTTATTGCAGAAACAAAGGGGAGTAGTGGATCTGGAATTGGGAGGGAAATGGAAGTTGAAACTCTTTAATATTTTTTTGCCTTCTTGAGTTCATCCTTTAAATAGTGGAATGCCTATATCTATTTTGTTGATCTGTTGCCTTGTTGGTACTGTAGTTTATTTAGTTCTGTTGCTACAATTATCAGCTAGTATTATTCAGTTTAACCTTTTGGGTTTGTTCAGTTCTGTTGCTACAATTATCAACTAATATTATTCAGTTTAACCTTTTGAATCCATATTGAATTGTTGATGTTATTTATCCTAATAGAGTATGTATTTCCTTCTCGTTCTAGTTGGGTAAATCTTTATGGACCAGTTGTTAGATCCCCTCTTTATAGAGTATGTTGATGGTTATGCTACACCGATCACTAAGAGAACTCATGGAATAAGCATTTTAATATATAAGGCTTACAATCCGAACCGTAATCCGAAATATTTATCCGATCCAAATATCAAAATTCAAACCGAACCGAATTTAATTTGGTTCGGATTCGGATTGTAATTTATCAAATCCGAAATCCGATCGGATAGCCCAAAATGTGCCAAATCCGGTCCAATCCGATCCATGAACATGCCTAATTTTAAGTATAGCTAGCTATAACTAACGAGTCATACACAACATTCCATACAATTACTCAAATCTTTCATGATAAGGAAACTATGTAAGATCACAACACACTTATTAAGAAACAGGCAAAAGCACACCCGTTTCAACCATCACATACCCAGCTAGAACAAAAATATAAGGACATAATTAACCTCACTTGTGTTTCTCAGCAAGAAAACTCGAGAAACATTTCTAACTAATTGCTGACAAATAATGAAATATACTTTGATGCTCTTACTGTCTAAATAATTTCTCCTATTATTTTGCACAAGACAATCAACATCAAGTATTGTTGCAAGCTTCTCACTTAATTGCCCTTTGAGACTTGCATTAGACCCCATTGGGAGCCTTCATTTCCGTCGATATGGAAATGATAGGTGCTCTTCATGAAAGAATATGAGAGAAATAAGACAAATGAAACCTAGATTTATCTGATGCACCCTTAATTTTGTATGTAGACCTTATATTTCGAATTTCGGATCGGCTCGGATTTAAATTAAAGCAAACCATATCCGATCCGATATCTAAAATAATTAAATGTTTAATCCTAAATCCGATCAAAAAGAGTTGAAATCCGATCTGAACCCATCCAAATAACACAGATCGGTTCGGATTTTCGGTTTGACCCAAATAAAGCACAAGGGACCAATCTTAGAGAGTTGCCTCAAAAAGAGACCATTTGTGCAGATCAGCAAGATATGAGAAATACAGCTAAGGCCATGGCCCAATCATAGAATGAATCATGTTCAAATGGTGGGCCATGACTCATAAGGCCCAAAACATATCAAGTACCAAAACCACGCCAAAAGGCCCATAGCATTATTTAACGAAAATCTACAATCTACAACTTTTTCACATCAAAGTTTTGACCTCGAAGTGAATCAAAAGAAAAGAAGAATAGACATGAAACAGCCAAAGGTACACAGTGACATTCATCCTGCAGACTTTTATTCATCCCCCTTGCCAATTTCTCTCAACCACAAACCACGCTCACCTAGGAAAAACTAATCTTTTTTAGAGAAATATTATACATTCAAGATTTTAAGCATCTGCTGTCTGAGCATCATCAGCTGCAGCCAAGATAAGCTCCGGATGAATGCTTGACTCTGCTGTCCCGTCGAGTGCATTAGGCAATCCCAATGCCCTTAGCGCAAGGTGTGCTGCCTTCTGCCCTGATATCATCATAGCTCCAAAAGTTGGTCCCTGAACAATACAAACACCTCCAATTAGTTACACTTCAATTTTACTGTCAAGTTCTTATATCTTGGGATCGGTTATATAAGCAAAATGTATCCATTCTACTTTATCAAGGCAAATTTGGAATACTTTTAGACTAGACGCTCTCTACATCTCACACTTATCTGTAGGTACAAATCTAATGGTGCACGAGTAATTATATAGGAGTTAAAAGTGTGACAAGTTTACTTACCATTCTTGGTGCTCCGTCAATTTCAGCAACTTCCATCCCAGTAACAATCATTCCAGGTACAACCTCTCTGGTAAGTCTAACAATTGCATCCTCAGCAGCGTTCATGTCCAAAGCTTTCATCCCAGGAACATGGTTGATCATGCCAATGCTCTTAAGCCTCTTAACACCAGTGGCACCCATGGGACCGTCGTGGCCACAGGAGCTGACCACAATCTTAGCCTCCATAACGTTGGGGTCCATGCAAGATTGTGTGTCGTGGTTCTGAGAAACCAAAGACCAGTTAGTGACAACACCACCAACTCTTCCGTTCTTCACAATAAGGTCCTCTGTTGCAACAGCATTGAAGAGTTTCACGTTTGGCCTGGCCAAAAGCTTGCTCATGATGGTTGAGGTGAACAAGGCAGCATGTTTGATGACCACGTAGTTGTCTTGCTCGTCATAGTCTATGCCTAGCTCGTTCAAGAAGAGATGTGCTGGCTTACGCACAACCATGGCCGAGAAGAGTTGTCCTCCTAGCCAGGCACCTCCACCAGGGCTCACTGATTGCTCAAGTATGGCCACCTACACAAACCAAGTCAATTCACATAAACAACTTATAACAAGTACAAATTGGAGAACATAGGTATTGTAATCAGCAACTATAATCTAATCAAGAACAATTTTAGCAGTTAGAACATCGAATAACTTCCCTGTGATCATGAATGCGTGTACCAGCCAGAGGCAGATCTAGGATGGGTTAGGTGTGTTCAATTAAATTCATTGACAGGGGTGGAAGCACAAGCCGAACTATAAGTGCGGCCGAACTCAGTAGCTTTTGTTCAAACAGTGTATTTGATGTTTAAAATTCATCAAATATGTACAAATATTAAATTTAGAACCCAGTAACTAATACTTGAAGTCGTCAGTCATGTACTAAGATCCAAAACCCATAAGGTTGAAATCCTAGTTCCGCACAACTTACAAACTCTAGATCCTAAATTCAGGATAAGATTATATCAAAAGCAGTTTCACTCGTTCACAAGTGTATATACAACTTTCGCTAATAAACATGTGATTTTTTCTCTTGATCGGACTCGCTCAAGTTGCACAAGGTCTAAGGAAAAAGGTGTCACATGATTTGTGGGTACAAGTAAACTTACAAGTACCTTTAACAAGAAGCCCGTGTTTTTTTCCCCTCCAGCTGCCAAGTCTTATATGAATTTTTTTTATCCTTTTCGATTACTAGAAATACAAGCGAAGCCAAAAAAACAAATTCCAAAATTTCCATCTTTCCGCTATCAGAATTTAATTGAAAATGTCCATTAGGCACATGTCATAGGCTCTGTTTTAAAAGGCGTTTCTAGGGCGAGCCCCGGGGCGTACCAAAAAAGCCTCGGGGCGATGGTGTGGGGCGAAAGTCTCATGAGGCGTAAGGCGTACGCCACGGGCGTTCGGGCCGCGTTTTTTAATAAGTAGCAAGCCCCAAAGACTTTTTCAAATTAAAATAAAATTTGTTGAATTAGTCCTTTATATAATACCTAAATTCTCAAAAGTCAGTTTGGTAATTACTCAAAAGGTTTAAAAGGGAACTCAAAAGTATTAAATTTAAAAGTAAAGACCTTTTTTATTGATTTAAGCCCTAATTCATGATTTTCCCAATTTTTTATCTTGTGCGTTAGTCTGTTAATATCTCCCAAAAGCAACGAATATTTAATTTTTTTTACAAATACAAAGAGAACTACATTCTTCTTTATAGCAGCAAATTCAAAGTTCAAATTACAGATTAATCATCCTTTTTGTTCCTCCATATAAAAAACTTTATTCTTTTAGACTCAAATTACTTGTGCTTGTAAGTAACGTATAATAGATTGTTTTGCTTAGTTTTTTGTGGGGATGGGGCACACATATATATAGTTTTCTTCAATTTTTATGCAATTTTACCTGTTTATAAATATTTACTGTCATTATATTATTTTATAAAATATTAAAACTAAATACCTATGGGGCTTACGCCCCGCTGAGGCATGTATAATGTCTCGCCTTACGCCCACGCCATTTAAAACACGAATCATAGGTGCCAATTATTCTTCCGCACAAAAAATCTTGAGAATTTAAATGAAAAATTATAGGGAAAGCTTATTTGAAGCTAAATGGTTTTGTGGGTCTACGTAACTTATTTATAGTTTTATGACCCTATCTTATTTTTTACAAATGAGAGATTTACGTGAGAGATCTATTTTAGACATAAGAGATGTAAAAATGGCACTTTCTTAATTTCAATATTATGGCTATGATATCCCATTTCCTCGCTGATTTGAACCGTATGTCATCGTTTGGTACGCATGCGAAATTATTCCGGAATTATAGTCCTCCCAGGTGGGAGGTGGGATAAATTCTGTATCAAATTTATGGGATAAGGTGGGATAACATAGATATCCAGTACCATTTAGTACCAAACATTATCCTAGTACCATTTAGTACGTTTATCACATCTTATCCTAGTACCAAACATTTCCTTATCATAAAATATTTTAAAATTAGTTAACAAAGTAAACACAAGCCAATATATGGTCTTTCGTCACTTTTGTCTTTTTGTATCACAATATGCCAGATACATATGTTAAAGCATCCTGCAGCAGGCCTAGATTAATCTCAACTTAAATTTGGATATTACTGTGGGAAAAAATAAAGAATAAAAAGGATACCTGAACGTTAGGGTTCTTGCTGATTTCATAAGCACAAGAGAGACCAGCAGAGCCAGCGCCAACGATGACGACATCAGTGTCAGCATAGGTGATCATGTCGGTCATGTACCTACGTGTCATCTCGCGAGAAACGATGGATTCCTTGATTGGGTTGAAAGTGAAAGCGTTAAGATCATAAGGAGGAGGAGAGGAATCAGCAGACATGGAAATGGTCATGTTTTGTTGGGCGGATTTAACAGGTTTAAGTCTAACTTGTGAAAAAAGAGGGATACCAGAGAAGGATGATTTGTGGGTGTCCAAGAAATTGGTCTTGGAAACAACAACAGAGGAGGCCAAGGTTGATGCCATGGTTGCCATAGAGAAAGCTTCAAGATCTTGAGAGAGAGATGACTTCTTCTTTTTTGAGAATTGGAAGAATGAAAGATTGTTTTGAGTGAAGAAGTGAAGGGGAAGAGACGGTATTTAAAGCAGTGACAAGTAGTGAGTGATGAGAAAATATCTGGGAATAGTTGAGGACTTGAGGAGTACGTGGACACAAGAATCCGGCTCCCCTGTTTCTTCCATTTGCTTTGAATACCTACGGACTCCTAACCAAACTTATCGCATAAAGAAAATTAATGTCGGAATATAATATGGAATTATTTAATTTGCGTTTTTTAAATCTCGAAATTAATATCTCAATTCTGCTATTGTTGATGATATAATTGTCCTTTTTTATAGTTCTACTCCAAAAGTCCTTTGAAAAAAATCAAGGTTAAAAACGGCGATAAAACTTTGTACAATAAGTTTATATACTAAAATTGATATTTAATTTTATATTATAATTTTGATATAATTAATTTGTTACTCCTAAAATTAAGATTAAATTATTTTTACAATCATTGTAACCTTAATTATCAAAGATTTCCTGAAAGCTCTAATTCCAAACTTTAGTAAGAAAATGATTGACATTCCTCCAAAATAATTTTAAAAATCTTATTTAATCTTCATTAATAATCTAATCTAATTCTCCAACTTTGGTAAGAAGATGAATTAAATTCTTGCAAATTCAAATTATAATCTACTCCCTTCTGGCATTTTAACTGTTGCTTTAATTAGCTCTTTTTTACGTCCAATAAAAAAATAGTAAAATACAATGATTAGTTTACTAAGTTACCTTATTAAATATCTTTTTAGAATTGAGCAGCATTAAAAGGAAGTACTCCTTTTTTAATATTAAGGATATATAGTTGGAAACTATTAACAAATGTAGTCTTTTAATTCCTAAAGTGACATATGTTGGGACAAACTTTTTGAGTTAAAATGAGATGGAGGGAGTATTTGAAATTCTAAATTTCTGTTTATTCAACTCAACCATAGATTATAAGTCGCACGTGGAGAGGAATAGGATTATTTTTCTTGAACTCGAGAGGGATAGGATTTGAAGGGCCTTAATTGATGATACAGTCAGCGTGGCCCACTTCTCCTTCAAGTGTGTTTCGCAATATTGGGCTATTTGGTATATCAAAAAATATATAAATTTATACATATTTTCGGCTATAGCGATAATATTCCATTTTTTGTATATATACTATATTTTGAAGTTATTTACCCGGTTGATTTTGGTTTTTAAATTTTCAAAAAGTATCTTGATTATTATTATATTTTCAAAATTTATATACAAGAGTATCTAAACACACTTCCAACACCATGATTAGCGCAAATATCCCTACAAATCCTCCCCAAAATATTCTCTGTTCAACTCTATAGCAAATCTGCCAATTATGATCACTGTATAGCATCACAATTGATAAATTTGATATAATTTGCTACAATCAAAAAAGTAAACTCTATTCAATATTAATATACACAATTAACAAGCTACAAAGTACTATAAATTGATCTGGCATTAACGGTCATTGAAATTCATCTCAAAAGCTTTAAACTTGAACACAAATATATTCAAAAATTACAATCAATTTGATGTGATCGTCGAAAGAAAACTTGATATAATTTTAAAATATTACAATACAAATAAATTCAACTGCAGCAGACTAATCCAATTGAGTAGGAACAAAAATTTCTAATACAACACAAAAGCAGATCTGAGGTGTATTTATTAGTACCAGTTAAAAGTTTGGAATTTAAAATTTGGGTTTTATAGAATTATGATTTATTTGGATTAGTGTGTTGCAATTGATTTAGAATATCTTTTAAAGTTAATATCTCAATTTTAATAGTAACTGGCAATGATCCTCCTCCATTAAAATACAGTAGCTCACTGGAAAAGCCTCCATAGGAGACCTTTTTCTTCCTCCATTAAAATCCAACAACAAAACCACCTAAAACTAGGCTTAGACAATATTAAAATTACTCAAAGGCTAGTAACAAACTCCATAAAAATCAGCCCAAAACCACCAATAACCGGATTAAAAATCAAAGTGGAAGAATACATCACATACAAACCAATAAAAAACTGATACAAATCTGATACAATACTATATATTATACTTGTATCAGTATCATATCATATATTATTTCAATTCTTCCTTTTCTTCTTTTTCAATCTGAAATTTCACTTAAACCAACATTAAACTTAATCAATCTCCCTCAAAATAACTCCAAATGATATTTTAAATGGTTTGCAATAACATCCAAACCAACCAAACAAACAAACAAATAAATTCGTAAAACCCGAATATCAAATTCAAAGCTTCGAAGATTTCTAATATTTGCCAATGGCTGTCAATGAAGTTTACAGCTTTATCATTGTTTCTTTCTTTTATTACTGAACAAAAAAAGATAATTGCTAAAAACTTTCAAATTATGCGAGCATCTTCAATTAATTAATATGTATTTGTGTGATTGCATTTTCATAAGCTCATCAATCTGGTAATTCGTTGAAATATTTAAAATTATTATATTATTTTGTGAGAGATGAAGATCAAAACTTAATAATAGAAATTTTCATGATTTTAGAGAGAGAAACGAGATTTTGAAAGGAAATTAGGTCACAAAGTGGGGGGACCGGAGGTTTAGCTGTTAGGCGCGTGGGTTGCCCATTTAATTGCCTATAATTAAGGTATCCTCTGTTATTATAGAGTTGTATATAAATTGCAAATACAGATATGATATGATATCATATGTAATTAAGTAAGAATCTCTATAAAAGTAGTAGTTAACTCTATAATTAAGTATAGCTATGTAAAAATGCCAATAGATATTACATATAATTCCATCTTTTATAAGTAAGAATTATAGTCCTAAAAGATAAATGTTTAAAAAAATCAGAGACGTAGATAAGCGGAAGGTCCAAAAAAAGAAGTTAAACACAAGAATCCCAAATTTTTTTAAATAAATTATTTTGAAGCATGTATAATTGACGATCCAAGGCGTAAAGCTTGCACGAGCACTCTTATAACATAGCAGGAGCTAGAGTATTGGGAGCGGGTTTGATCAAACTCAATAGCTTTGATTCGATCTGAATTTGTCTTAAAAAAATCATTGAATATGTATAAATTATTAATTTAGAACCGAGTAACTTAAAACGATTAGAATTGTGAACTCATTCTATTGATCATGTCCCCTTCCCAATAGTTGTACCTTGTCGTGGGGCGTCTTTGGCTTTACGATAGAAAGCTCGCCAGAGAAAGCCAGGTGCCTTAGGTAAGCTCTATTTGGCCCGGAGCATTGATTTCCCATAACAAATAGGCTAGTTCTATCTCTCAATTATCTATCCTGGGCTCGAAAAGGTTCCTTAGTAATTTAAAATCCTGATTCCACCTCTAGCAACCCTTATAGCATATAAAGCGAACAAGCCAAGAAGTTAAGCATGTATGAGATGAATGCTCCACTAATGGAAGTAATTTTTTTCCGCCCCTCAAAATTTGAATTATTTTTTTAATTTATCCGTGTTATCATTACAAATGACATGTTTATCTTCTATGTATTATTCCAATTTTATTGAATATCTCGGAGGGGACTAATCGAAGTACTATTAATTTCACAAAAAATGTTAGCCATCATACTGCAATCGGAGTGTCCAAACGTCTCGCCTAGGAAGAGACCCGAAACTATTTTTACCTAAACATATAGCAAGTTAATATAGTATTATTATGTTTCCCATTGCAAGTGGAACGAACAAACATATAACGTATATGATGGAGAGAAATTGATCAATCCACCTTCTAGTAGCCATTATCTTCGGAAATTTAACCGAACATTCCTAGAAATCAATAAATTAATTAATTAATTTTGTATGATAAACTTTTATAAGTTTGCTAATTTTCAGTTTTCACTAGTTACAATATGTTGAGTATTGTCTCTTGCAATGATGAAGTGCTTGTCATTTCAAAAGATATACACCATGGATTTTGATTTATGGAGATGTTGGCTGGTGCAAAATTAGCTTTATCACTGTTTTGGTGTCATTGAGTAGTCGGATCTCTAGTCTTTTCATCTTTAATTTTTCGTCTTCTCTGATGCAGAGTTGGCCCCGCTTTGATCAGCATTTTGTGAGGTTGTTACTGAATGAAAAAGACCTTTGCTATTTTCGAAATAAAATATCTTCACCACATTAACATGATTTTATTTGCCCCTTGATGATTTCTCAAATATATTTTCATCGTTTTGGTACTTGACTATACAACAATTTATAGGTTTCTTTACTATGCTGACGCAACCCTTAACTTCACTATCATTTCCTCTTGATAGCTCTCTAATGTTAGTGCTTACTGCTTAGCATCAATTATTTTTAGCACTAAGATCATTATCATTATTGTTTTTCTTAGTTGGATTCGGGCAAATATTAGACATCTTATATCTATAGAAAAAGATCAGCAAACTGGTGGTCGATAAAATTTTAAGGGGATCCTTCATAGATATTTCCTGTTTAATCAATCCCTTTCTACGACGTGGATAGGGAAAAAGAAAATGCATAATCGTTTTAAAAAAGAAAAGTTACCACGGAAAATGTTTTTTAAAAAACAAAAGTGATTTCACTGTGTCATGGAATATGCCTAAGGATCTCAAATCGTTTGTCTTTAATTCTTTATACGAGGCATCCACTGGGGGAATTAATATTCTCTTGAATAATAAACTAAAACTTCGCCTCAATAATCGTTTGCTTTAAGATACTACTGCTACCCCCAGGTGACCAAAATGGCAAGGGCAAACTGTAGGATAGTACTTGAAGTGTGCCCAAAATGGCAAGAGCAAGAAAATCCGATCGTACTTCACATCAAGAGATCAACAGTTACATATAATCCAGAGGAAATGATTCGACACAGATTTTTGTAGTTCGAATAGAAGAAAATACATCAAGAAAAAAAATTCTTATTGTTATAAAACAATAAAAGAAAAGAAAAGTATTGCAGAAAAAAGTAGAATTTTTATTGATTTGAGATTAATTACAATGGAAACGATTTTGACAAGAGTGGGTTGCTCTAGTGGTAGCACCCTCCACTTCCA